CTCAGCGCGCCGCGGTCTCGCTGTAGGAATGGCCGCCTCAACCGACGCCGCCCGCGCTGCTCCTGCTCCCTCCGCGCCGCGCTTACTGAGGGGAGAGAGAGCGGGGGCGCGCACGCCAGCGCGTAAAGGCGAGGCGGCCGCGGGAGCGAGCGGCGCGGGGGCCCTCGTCGCTTTGAGAGTGGCCGTCGAGAACGCCTTTATAGCGGCGCCGGCCTTTCCCAGGCGGAGGAGGCGTTTCCCCGTCGGCGGCGCCGTCGTCTTTCTGGCGGGTCCTTCAGGCAGCGCGGCGGGCACCTAAGCGCCAGACACAATAGCTAGGCGGGGCGCCTTGCCTCACGTTCCCGCCCGCCCGCCGCAGCTCTGCACCGAGCCGGGACCCTCCGTGGGGCCGGCTCTCCTCACAACCCAGCTCCCACCCCGCCCGCCCGGCACTGGGTTGTGCCGCCCGTTGGAACAACCGGCGGCATTGAGCCGGTTGCGGCCGTCCCCGAAGGAGCGGGGGCGCTGCCGGGCCCTGCCTCGCTGAGGCGATGGGTCTGAGGTGGCCGGGGTTGTCTTCCCCCTGAGCGGAGCCCGTCGCACCGTTCCCGGCATAAGCGTGACTCCAAAACATGTTTTGTGCTTATTCATGCCTTTAAGGCGCGTTCTTAAAAATGTGGGAGGGTTCCGGAGAGGTGGTGTGCCACAGGTGTAATTGGGCCTTAATAATTGCATTTCAGGCCCTGGAAACAGTTGCCTCATTTGTCTTTCATGATGGGGTTTGTGGTGGAGGTACCTGCACCTCGCTCCACGTACAGTCCCTGAATACTACATAACATACTTGATTTTAGTTTTACATGTTTCCGTGACCCAAAGCTGTGCCGTGTCTAGCTAGCGCTTGCTGAACCTTTACTTCTATGCTGACAACAAATAATTACTTCAATATTAAAGACATCATACTGAAAGACATCAGGTTTTCTGTGAAGTAAAGGAGTTTTTTGAATGAATGCTATGCCTTCTTAGAGAGGTACAGCTTGAAAATGAAATGCCACTGCCTTCAGCAGGCTGAGGAGCTAAATAACATTGGAAAGGTTTTAGTATTTATTCAGTTGTCCTTCTGGAATTAATGGATGGAGGACTTTGGGATATAAGGCTCTGAAAATTTAATTCCCAGTAATTGTGAATTTGAGGGGGATTTTCTGGTTGTAATACCAGTTTAAGATTATATTTTTACCATTGTTTTTTAAAACTGAATTTTTCTTTCATCTGTTTAATCACGAATCCACACAATCCTTTACACTGACACAAGAAAGAGCACTGTTGCTTGAATAGCTGGGCCAACCTAATGGTTCACCACAAGAGCGAGGTATCTCATTACCCTTCCTCACCAAATCACTGCATGCAATCACGCAGTCCTTGCCTTTGTTTCCATTCTGATTCTTGCTTCTCAGGAGTTAATTCAAGTTTATAATCCAGCAACAAACTGCTTGCTTTGACCTCATGCTGTAGTAGTTAATTTTGAAGGGTCAGATTTTTTCTTAATTCCATCTGTAAATATTGCTTCTTATGCTTCTACTTCTGATGTATGCCTGCATTTTCTGTAGCAGCTTGATGCTTTGTCATTTTATATTAGATTATTTGCTTTTCAAATCACCTCTTTTTACAGGTTATAAAACAACTCTAATAAATCACCCAACCCAATTATTTCAGTTGAATAAATGAAGGATAAAAGAAACACCTTCAAATATTGGAAGTCCTTTTCACTATTCACCAAGAAGATTTTGTTAATACCATTATATTTACAAGATTTAATTTTTATGCATTTACTTCTCCAAGCTGCTTACACAGGGGTCGAAATTACCTTTTTCCCAAGTCAAATGCAGTTTCTTTGTGAGCATGTGAAGCACATTGATGCTTTCTGACCAAAAAATATAACGCTTTAAAATAATACAGAATTGTTTCATCCATTCCTATTCATTTGTCCTTTTTTCTTACATTGCCATTGCAATTCTGCTTAAGGTCTGGGCACTCAACAGCTTAGGCATGTTTTTCAGCCAAGTCATAGGATGCTAATGTAGCTTGTACTCAAAACCTGTATTGTTGAAGAGGTAAAAAAAATCTGTAATAAAAGAAAAATCAGAGCTGATGGAAGAATTGGTGACAATGATTTAAGAATACACATTGGGCCAGAATTGGGCCAGCCCTGACCTCGTCCACCAACATGAGATATTTGTTCTTCATTGGAAAGCATAACACAAAATAGTGAATGTTCATGGTCTCACAAAAACTGATGAGATTACATGAACACAATAATTACAATTACTGCATCAAAGCTCTTCATAATTAACACTGGATGCCTTTTTGGTTAGCCAAAGATGGAATTGAGACTACTGCTAAGTTTACATGCTAACGCATAAGTAACTATAAGGAAAAGATTAAGTACTCTGCTTACACAGGGACTGCAAAAAGAGGACTTTTGGATTGTACTAAAAAAAAGAGACTTGTTAATTTAGTATGGGATAAGCCTTACTAAATTCATTTAACAGATTCTTCCTATAACATGGCAACTTTGTACCAAAAATATCTCTCACTGTTGTATTTAAGCATAATTCACCGTCAGTGCTACACTGCAGTCGCTCTGCGTAGGCTCCATACCAGATCTCCGGACCCTTCAGCAGTCTCTTGGAGCAGCCTGGGAACAGCCGAAGTACGCGTGGTTCCCTAGTCTGCATCAACTTTAGAAGTAAAACTTCCGTACTTCCAAAATTCACTCGAAAATAACTTTCACACAAACAAACTTAGGCAGGTCGTGCTGTCATATATTCGTCTACCTCTTTCATACTGTTCCTCAAAAAAGAGTGACCACAAATTCGTCGTACTTCTGTGCCAACAATACTGATCATCCAGGCTTGACAGAGAAAACCCTGAATAAGAATTTCCCACAGTCAAAGAAGAGTTAAGACCTCATCCTCTCTACTTTAAGGAAGTGTTGAACCACTTCTGATATGTGAGTAAGCTTTATCCCAGCAACTTCTAGCATGACAAACTTATAATTAGCATGTGGGTCTCAACATTTACATTTCTTAGAGATAAGTACCCCCTTACTTACCACGTGTGGTATGATCTCCCTGTAAATCTGGATTTGGGTCTCTTCGCCTTTGACTTCTTTGATGTTAGCTAGCTGGTTGAAGTCCCACTTCAGCATAATTAAGGTGGAGATCAAATCTTATTTGTAGGGAGCTGGTTTTGTATTTCATGTTCGTGAGCTGTGTAAATGAAGGTCAGCTGTGGAGCTGCTGATTTTGGAGTAGCATTTGGTTCGTCACTTTAGAAAGGCAAGAGAGGAGAGAACATCTCCCCAGCTTATGTAGCACTTCCACAAACGTGAACCTTTAGACCACAAAATTGCTTAAGATGAGGGAGGGCTCCACCTCCCTGCAGGCAGTCTGGGGATCCAGATTTAGGAGACGCTTAGCTGTGCTCTTCATGTTCCAGGGAAACATCTCACGTGCTAGATTTCTCTGGGTTTTCAATCATCATTATTTTACATCAGCTGTAATTGGAAAGTCTGAATACACCTTTTCTGTCTGTTTCTCAGTTTCCAACCCTCAGATGGGCAAAACCAGAGACAGGTGTATTTAAAACACACATAACCAGCCAGTTAAATGAAAAGAAGATGGAGGGAAGAAAGTCTTAAGCTTATTGGTGTAATCAGGGCTCAACTGTTGTACAAATATTCTGCGGGCATATAGAGCCTCCTCACTGAAGTACTGTCTCGGGCAGGGTTTTTCTGATCCTCCTTTATATCACTTTTGTTACCCCTGACACACCTTTCCAGCCCTTCCCATTCCACATTTCCTCCCTTTGCCCACCTGCTCAGGGACTTTCGACCAAGCCAAGCCTTGACATTCCCTCTGGGGAAAATCCTGCAGGGAAGTACTACCAGTCCCCTGCCCTGTTGTTCTTTCTCCAGGTAAAAAAGAAAGAAAGAATATTAAAAAAGATTGCTTTTCCCCAGTGCCCTGAGAGCTACTTCCAAGCAAGAGTGAGGTCTCACGTTCCTCGTGAACGCCAAAGATGAGCTGTGTCTCCCTGCAGCTCTGCCTTGTTCTGACCGTTCCTATGCAGGCAATCAAAGCAGACAAATGGAGACGTGCTCCTGTCTCCCCAAACCTGGTACCCCAGCCCTGTGTCCTTCCATCTTCTTGTTACCCACTTCTCCAAAACAGCAACCGTTCTTACATCTCTCCAGCTTTCCCACCCTGTTGATATGTTCTCTGCTTCCCCAAACCAGGAACTCTGACCCACGGTGCATAGTGTTCTCTCCTTGATTGCCACGTCTGCTCCCTGGTCATACTCAGAATTATTCTGAATAATATAATTAAATAATGTAATAAATGACTTCTATTTATTCTGTGTTGGGTTGGGGCAGCGGGGGGGGGGGGGTGTTGGGGTTTTTTCAGTGGGATCCATAAGTCTAAAATGAAATTTCCCTTCTTGCACATTATCGCAGATCTATTCATCAATCAGTTCCCTGACTGATTTCATTGAATGTTATGAGACTGAGAACATGACAGTAAGAACAAGGCTAGAGGTAACCATCACTTAAGCTGAAAAGCAGATCCTATTCCACTGGTGGTCCACAGAAAATAAGAAGTACCAACCTCTATTTCCAGTTCCCAGATTTAGTATACAAGGATTATGGTTAGAAAAAGAAACAAACCAAAATACTTCAACTTATAAAATAGCAACATTTAAACTACAGTAATGAAGAGGAGTCAACAATATCTTTTATTTGCCTTACAAACTTACTTTGGAGAGTAGAACTCTATCTACAGCAATACCAACCCAGAGCAGGAGTATTGTTTGGGAATAGGAATCTGGGAGAATCTGAACTTTCACTCAGTTTTACTGTCTTAAGAGGGGCCTACTCTGCAAATTTAAAAAACTGTGGTGCCTCCTGCTTATCAGGCAGTTTTAGAAAGCTATTGCTTGCTTTTTAATT